CAATACTTTTTGGTACTTGTATCGGATTATTCGTTTAATAATAAAAGGCATTTCTTTATTATGTTTGTCTTTCAGAATAATAAAGTCCCTAGAATAGTTAGTTTGTTTAATGAAATGTTAAGTGTGACTTAATCATGAGATCCCATTAAACATAAAGACATTATTCTTAAAATATCCGTAGTCAAGCTTTATTGCAAAGTGGGATAACATTAAAAGCATTGAGACTATTATGAAGATAGACTGATGATCACATCTCATGGATCATGGATAAAGAGTTATCAAGTCTTGACATAGGTATAAATATTAGGAGTAATATTTATACCGGATTGACCCGCTATGAGAATACTACATAGTATGTTATGCAAAGTGTCATAAGTTATTCTCATGGTGATAATGGTGTATTACCACCCTTCGACCTGAAACCACTATGGACCCTAGATGTAGAGTCGGGTGCTTTATTGCTGATCAAACATTATCCGTAACTGGATGATCATAAAGACAGTTGATGGGCACTCCACGAAGCATGCTGAGGGACATGAGTGTCCTAGATGGAATTTGCCAATCCTGCATAACAGGAGAAATGTCTAAGGGCCCAATATTGAACTGGACAAGGATGACACAGTGTATGCCTTGTGTTCAATATAGACATAGGGGCAAAAGGGTAATTGTACAAACATATATTATCACGAAAAAGGTTTTGTCAGATCACATGACATTTTCGTGACTTGGGTAGCAGTGATGTGTTGCTAGATACCGCTTACTGTTTATTATGTTAAATATATAATTTAATATAATTACCAACGTTACGAAATCCTACAGGGTCACACACATAAGGACAGTTTGATGAGAGATAGAGAAATCAAAGGAACACCGTAAGGTACGGTGCACTTAAGTGAAAAATAGAAATTCGGATAATATAATAATAATTATTGTTATTTTATAATGGTTATAAAATAATAATAAAATAAATATATTTATTATAATAGTTATTATAATAATATATAATATTTATTATGGATCATGTGAATTGGGTTTTTAGCCCGCAGCCCACAAGAGAGTCTATAAAAGGAACCCTTGTGATGAAGCTTTCACTTGATGCAATTTCGTTTTTGATTCTCTTTTCTCACTCAAATAATTCCGTTCGTAAGCAGCTAGCACTGTGACCGGAAGTTGTTCGTGTGGACTGAGTAGAGGCGTTGCACTTCATCAACGCTTGTGATCGCTGCATCAAAGATCTGAATCACCACAAAGAGGTAACGATTCTATCACTGACCATGCTCATTCGTAAGGATCACTAAAGGAAATTTTTGTTTTCCGCTGCGTTTAGATCGCAATTTTCCTTCATCCTCATCATCCACTTCTTCATCCCAGAAGCGTCGAGATTCAGCTGAGAGTTTATCACAGACCCCGTCCTCCCGTAGGCCTCGCCAGGATACTCCTGGTCCCCCTCCTGCTGGTGATCCGGTGCCACCTCCAGAGGGTGATAACCCACCACTGGAGGATGCTGGTGACGACGAAGATGACGGGCTTAAGGGTGTCTCAGGGCCCCCCCTCAGATATGTCTCTACTGATAGGGTACACTGACCATACTGTCAAACATGTCTGGGATGGAGAGGTAATATCACTCAGATTATTTTTTTTTCATTGGAAATTTATAATTTGTATCATTGTTTCATATTAAGATTATTTCTTATTTATGAAAATTTTTAGACTCGTCAACCGCAGAAGTCCTATAACCACAGGCAGAAGATATTATCTTTGGAGCAGCCACAAGAGGCTTGGTTCTAGGGTGTCCTTGCCGCCTCTGGTTTGAAGGACCTTTGTGAGATCATTTACAGCATGATCCATAATGAGATTCTGATGGGCTTTGCGGAGAGATGACACCCTGAGATGTCCTTCTTCCATCTACCGTACGACGAGCTCACAATCACACTAGAAGACATCTTCTGTCTGCTACATATACCGATCAGGGGTACCATTCTTCGTCACGGTAGGATGACGAATGAGGATGTGAGAGAGATGTTGGTCGAGGAGCTTGGGGATGATCCACTGGATGCGTTTTAGGAGGTGGGTAGGACTAGAGAGGCTTGTGCGAGGTTCTCATTTCTCACGCGTAGATTTGGTGAGGCGTTGAGATGTTATTTTCTATTTTTAGTTGGCACTCAGCTTTTTTTGGACACTTTCTTAACATATACGAATGTCGCTTGCCTAAGGTACTTTTTGAATTCCACATGGATCTATGAGTGCAACTGAGGGCGCGGCTACCCTGGCTTACACGTATTCGAGGCTGGGAGAGGGATGCATGTAGAAGACCAGGACCGTGGCAGGGAGGGTGACACTACTTGAGGTAACAATCTTATATCCTTCGACTTTTTTTCATTTCTTTTCATTCTATATTTGTGATAATGCTTGTGTTAGAACACATATTGATTCTTAATATATCTCAATGTTTTGATGATAACAATAATGAAATTTTGTATGGAGAAATTATATACTCTAATTTTGTTCAAGTGTTTTTGTTTCAGATAACATAATAAATATTCCTCTAAACGTTAAGCTACAACACGCAGAAGACTCTGAGCGTAGAGTATAAAGTGAAGATTCAGAAAACTCTGAGCGTCCTAAACTCAACGCTGCAACTGCAGAGGCTCTGAGAATCAAAACATGTAAGGCTCTGAAACGTTAGTAACAAAGTGATACATTCGGATAACATGGATAACATGTAAGAGCGAAGATCTGCTCTGATCTAAAGCGTTCCTCTGGATGAACAACTTGTTAAAACAATCATGCTAGCACTAAGCTGCAGAACTCTGGAAGATATTTCCATATTCGTTCATTTAAAAAGATGTTGATCAAGAAAGATTCATTGCCAAATTCATTGTCTACATCCAACGACACTATTCCTCTTTTGTGTATGGGACATGATTTCAGAACAAAAAGGATATCTCTGAACATTCCTCTCCTGGAAAGAAATAGTCAAAGAAGACAAAAAAAGCATCTGCACGCTATTTGAGAAATGGGTGTGAAGTATTTAAGCAAGTCTTCAACAACAATTCAAATAAGAACATTATTCTACAACGAACATACTACTTTGCTGAAAAGAAAATCCTTTTTTGCTATCACTTCCAAGTCAACTTCATATTAGCAAATAGAAAGTTTCATTGTTCTTCATTTGTGTTAAATCACTTTTGTGAAAAAGTTTTTCTAAGAAGCACTTAAACACACTTTATTGTATTACTTTGTAAGAGATCCTTGAGAGACCAAGGTGTGGTCAGTATTCTCGAGAAGACTAAGACAAGTTTGTCCTAGTGAAAAGATTGTAATCAATTTTTGATTATTGGATTAAGTCCTCTTTTGAAAGAGGCGAAATCACCTTGGCCGGGTGGACTGGAATAGTTTGAGTTCAAACGAACCAGTATAAAAATACCTGTTATTTTTATTGCCTTATTTGTTTTTTGAAAACCCTTATTCAACCCCCCTTCTCAGTGTTTTCCTTCCTTCAACTTGATCCTGATGTTTTTATTTTCATTTCAGGCTTGGATATTCCAGCACTTTCCCATGATCGTTAGGTGGGGGAGTGTGCTTGATTACACAGAGCTGATGTCGCGTGCCCGTGCCTTTCTCCCGCTCAGGGGAAACCAGGCGGTCGACCCTTACAGAGTCTATCTCGATCGCCTGACTGCTGTGAACATCCGATACGACATCTATGCTGATCACCGTGTGACGCACTCGTCTGACGACATCTCCCTATTCTCAGGATGGTTGTCATGCAGTTCGACCATCATTGTTCCATATTTATCCAAGCGCGACATGCGACAGTTCGATTACACTCAGACCATTCCCAAACACCCAACTGTCTCCGCTCCTCTCAGCTTGACCCGTATGCAGATATAGGAGATCTATGCCGACTACCAAAGGCACATGGTACCTGACGAGGCTCGGGCGACCAGAGCACTGACAAATTGGAGTTGTATTGATGGCTACATCATGTGGTTCTTCACCGTCTTACACCCCTATATGGTGCCCACTACCGAAGGATCACCGTCTAGACTAGCTCATCAGGAGATTTTAGAGGAGCAGTAGTCTCAGTTGGACCATACTCAAGATGTCCTGCCTCGCTGTCGTCAGATAGTGGAGATGGGGATGACATGCATTGTCGCCGGTTTCTTCTCTAAGGGGTCTGACCACATGCGTGTATTAGATGACATGATTGCGGCAGCAACAGGGGCACTTATGCACCACATGCATCGCGCTAGAACGGATGTGATCGATGACCGATGATGCAGACCGACAATCGAGGAGGCGAGAGAGGTAAACGAGGCGACAAAGGCATAAGCAGAAGAGGAGATGCAAATGTTGTCAGGCACACACAGTAGTGACTGTGATGTTTTTTTTTGATGTACTATATTTTGATGACATTGATGTACTATTTTTTAATAATGATTATGACATATGACTTCTTATATATATATCATATTATTTTATTTACGGTTGTATGTCATTTATATTTATCTGCAATAATTAATTTTCATCTGCGCCCAACAAAACTTGATTTAAAAAAAAATTGTTCTAATAAGATTTCGGAGATGTATTCACAAAACTTTTTCCGTAGATGTCTCCGGAAGCATCCAACGTAAATATAAAAAAAAAGGAGGCTCACGAATAGAAATTCTCTTGTGATAAAGTATAAGTATCGGAAAAGAAACTTCCTTATAAAAAAACAAAAATGGGCTTATATCATAGGCCGGTCCGGTCCATTAGAAGGCCTGCCTTTTCCCCCAAGCCAACTTATACTGAAATCAGTTCCTTTCTCTCATATTGTTTCAAAACTCAACATTCAAGATCTCACACTGCAATTCCTTCTTCTACGATAATCGGTGCGCCATCTTCATTCTCACTTTTGCATATCTCTTCCTTTAATTTCTTCCTATTTTCATTTCTTAAGAAAATAACAACCCCGCGTTCTTTTCTCAATTAGGTCACACTCCTAACCTGCAATCATGAAGCTCGATACAACTGGTCTCCAATCGTTTCCTTCACTGATTTCACACGGGAATGGCGTCGCCGGAGAAATCTCCGCACCTCCATCCTTCGAGCTTCCCAATTCCAACGATGTCAGTACATTTTTGTTTGTCCAATTTTACGATTCTGAAAGCGTTCATGGAAAAAATTAGAACAAAATAAAATTAGGGTTGAAGCAGAAAATGAGTAGGTTGTAGAAAAAAGGTTAAAACTTTAAGGTTTTATCTGACTTTTTTTTTTGTGTTTTGGGGTTTTGCTAGTTCGATGGTTTCCTTAAAGAAGCTATTCAGATGGTGAAGCCTGCGAAGGGTACTACGACTCTTGCTTTTATATTTAAGGAAGGTGTCATTGTAGCGGCTGATTCTCGTGCCAGTATGGGAGGATATATATGTGAGTGTTTATCAACTCTTATCTAATGTTTTCTGCTCTTTATGTTATTGGTTCTAATGAAACAATGAGTTTTTTTTGGTTATAGCATCACAGTCTGTGAAGAAAATTATTGAAATCAATCCATACATGCTTGGGACAATGGCTGGAGGTGCTGCTGATTGCCAATTTTGGCATAGGAATCTTGGTATCAAGGTAATATTGGCTACCTTATATATTGCATGCTTACTTTTGTGTGTTCTGTTTCTTTTCAGCTTAGTATCTTAATAAGTGCCTGTTTGTATCAAACAAAGTACCATTTCTTGATTATTGTTTGTAAGCAATCACCGTGTTGTTGCTAGTAGCAGAATTTTGTTTCCATTTTGGAGCATGTGTATACTTGTTGACTGGAAATTGTGTCCCTAGACTGCGGCTTAGACTTTGTTTAGGAAGCAATTAAGGAGTGGATGAAAGGGGATGGGGTTGGAACACTGGGAGGGTAGAAACTAAACATCTGATTTTGCTATCTTTTTGGGCAGGCCATGTAAATGGTTGGGGGATGTAAATAGTAACAAAATCAATTCGGTATGGCTTGTGACAACCTTTTCTTTAAGATGATTTTGTTTCAGAGCATAGTTATGTAATTTAGAGATAACCAAACTCTTAGTCTCTGTTTACGTTGTGAAAATGTAATATTTGTAACATCCCAAATTGCTTTTAAGTATTGCCGACTGTCCCACAAGCCAACACGAGTTCTTTCAACGTCTTTTTCCCTCACTCACACTTTCTAGGAACTTCCCAAAAGGTCACCCATCCTGTAGTTGTTCCAAGTCAACACTCATAACTATGGAGTTCTTATGGTATGGACATTAAAAAAAGATGCATCTTGTTGGTAGGTAGTACCAATTGATTCTTATAAATTCCTTCAGTTGTACAGTCCCAAACCTGCACAAATTTTGGTTTCTTAAAATTTGTGTTAATTTTACTTGTTAATCAAGAGATACTAGACTCTTAAAGTAAACAACTGTTTACGTTTTTTGGAAATAATGAAAATGCCTAAAGATTGTTTTCATTATTTCAAAAATGAATTAGTATTTCTAATTAGCATTTCATCTTCTCTCTATCACAATTGTTCATTTCAAGAGTCTCACATCTTATTAGCAAAGTTAAAATGAACACATTTTTTAGAAAATAAAAACAGAACATTTTCACAAAGTAAACAATTTTTGGAATTTTTTCTACTTAAGAAATGGGAAGATGTTTTTTTGAAGGGTGCTACTAGGCAAGATGAAACATTTTTTATTTGATTCCATTTATGTTCTTTGCAGTTGTCCTCAACGTTTGTATTCCTTCAACCTTGGCATAGCATTTTCTCCTTAAGCAACTTACAGCTCTAAATAAATACTCTCCATGCTGGTGGCTGTCCTTTATCATTTCATATTCTATTCTAATTTATAATGAATGCATATGACCAGCATGTTTTAATGTTTCAAGGTTAACTCCAACTAATAATGCATTGACATCAATGTTTTTGTATGTTTGACAAACCCCAAAGGAGGCCACTGTAACCCACTCTTATGCACGCAATAGTGTGGATACTATCATTACTTTTCTATAAACTACCTTTAGACTTGACATACTCAGACTTGGATGTTATTTCATTGCCATCGGTTTTGGATGGGTATAATTTGAATTTATTAGGCTTCACATTGGTATCCATTCACTCATGTTTAACTGATATTCGATTCAGATTGACCCATTATTGCAAGTCTGTTTTGGCCGAGCTGATCCTTAATTGAGACAGTTCTTGCCAAAACTATTGCAGAGTATTTTTTGTTGTGATCAACACTTAAGTGACAGCTTTTCATTTGATTTGTATTTGTTATTATTTTTATGGGTCGCTTCTCCTCTTTTTTCCCCTTATGTGATCTATTGGTCCTTGTCTTCCATTTTGATTTAGACTTCCTTTTCGGCAAATTATCTGACTTACTAGGCCTTCATGTATGCCCGACTCGTTATGGTTTTTTGGTCCTTGAATTTTGAATATCCCCATGTAGATGATAATGGATGAATTGAATGAATCTGTTCATATGGACGAAAGTAACTTTTTTATTGTTATCCCCCCCCTCAATATGTATGTGTGTGTGTGAACACTTACAGATGGCTTTTTTGATGTGGTTCATATTATCTGCAGTGTCGCTTGCATGAGTTGGCAAATAAAAGAAGAATTTCAGTAACAGGAGCCTCTAAGTTACTTGCAAATATTTTATACTCTTACCGTGGAATGGGATTATCTGTCGGTACCATGATTGCTGGATGGGACGAAACGGTAATTCACATGTTAAACCAGTAAATGGGTTTTGCTCAAACATGCCTATTTTGACTTGCAATGATCAATGTCTTTTTAGGGCCCTGGTCTATATTATGTTGATAGTGAAGGTGGAAGACTTAAAGGCACTAGATTCTCAGTTGGATCTGGTTCGCCATATGCTTATGGTGTATTGGACAGCGGGTTAGCTAAACTACTTCCTATTTAATTATCATCTATTCTTCTTCTGCCAAATCTTGTTAACAAACAGCTTCTGTCATACTAGGTACAAATATGATATGTCGGTTGAGGAAGCTTCTGAACTGGCTCGAAGAGCAATTTATCATGCAACATTTCGTGATGGAGCTAGTGGTGGAGTTGCTAGCGGTATTTTATCTTCCTTATTCACAAGCTATATCTATCTGCTTATGACATTTAGTTGCTGTCTCGCACATAGATAAGGAATTGCAAACATACTCCAATGTATTTTTAGCAGCAGAACATTGACAAGATATCTTTAGATTTTTTCATGTACTCCCTTAGATGTTACTTGCTAGCATACTGCTGAGAGTTTACGTGAGTATTTTAGCCGCTGTACCCCCATTTTTAATTAGAGATAAAAAGTATTGCAGCAAGTTTCAACTCTCATACCATCCCAAAACATGATATCTATTTTTATGTGTCCACTTGCAGATAGTTCATGGTTTCTAAACTTGTTAAGATGAAATTTTGTTCTAAACAAATTTTTACATGAAATGTTATAATTATAGTTACCCCTAACTAGGTCAGCCTTTTTGCAGCTGCTACATATGCATATTTTATTGCTTTAAATTTGTAAGGCATGCAACTAAATTAACGGCCACTAACTTGTATATTTATTTATATGATTTCAGTTTACTACGTGGGACCAACTGGTTGGAAGAAATTGTCTGGTGATGATGTTGGTGAACTTCACTACCATTACAACCCAGTTACCCCCAGCACCGTGGAGCAAGAAATGGTAGAGGCAGCTGGACCTTGATGCAGTAGTAACTCATGGGTATCTTTTGAGTTTCCTTGTCTGCTTACTTCGAATCAATTGTATGGACCTGATTTATATTCAAAACTGTCACCAGTTTTATGTATACACAAGTGCTGCTCTATGCTCTAATGTTGTCGAGTTTTCATATTATATCAAATTTACCATATGAATGGACAGAGCCATGTGTAATCTGGATTTAGTTTAAATGAGAAAAGCACGTCAAACAGATATGGCCATGCACGTTTGATGTAGAATTGTTCGTGTCCAAATTTAAGTTTTAGTAGAAGTGATAAAAATGAATGTTTATGTTAATATTAAATTAATATAACTTTCAGATCATACTGGTCTAAACATCAATCAATAAGCTTAACTTTGTTTTTATTTTTAGGGCCCCCAATTGCATAAGTATGTTCAAATGTGTTTTTCCCAGTAAAATATAATTTTTTCTTGAGTCAACCTGTAGTCTTGTTGATAGTTAGGGGTTTATGAATGGGAATTGTAAATGCCACCCTATGTCTCTTTGATTTTGGAAATGTACTTTGGACGTACCGTTTAATTGAAACACGCACAACTGAGTTTCATTCCATTTTTATTTTTAAATTTATTCTGGTGATATATTTTTTTTGAACTTCTATCAATTTATTCCTATTCCTGTTTAAACAATTTAGTGATTTTTTTGGAAGTGCATTTTCAAATTTGTGAAGCGGAAATTTGAAAATCTACCACCTTTGTATGTTACCTAATTTCGGATGTGCATTTTTTGAACAATCAAACAAGTATTAATAAAATAAAATCCTGCATGATCAAACTCTATAACCGCTTTTTCTCAAAACCCTTGCAAAATATCTTTTCATTCTTAATTAAGATTTCCACTGCAAAATATCTTTCCATTCTAAATTAAGATTTTCATTTAAAAACTTCAGTTATATGTTTTATCACATCAAAAGAAGGAGAAAAAGCTGAAATTTAAGGTAAAGATCTTTTATTTCATTTTTTATTGTTCATAGTAATCTTATTTTTGAGTTGTAAAAGTTACGTTGAGTTTGAAAATGCATTTTCGGTTCGGTATGAATGCCTATGAAAATGCATTTTCGGAATCGTTCAGTGTTCATTTCAAATTGTTTTTGAATATTTTTTGTTAATGTTTACATTAAATATGGTGCACCATGATGTTTTCTCTAAACCTATTGTGTCTACGGCTGCCAAAAGTGTTGATGTGAGGGAGGTAGAGGTTGGTAACCAATTTACAAATAGAAAAGAGTTTAAGTGTCGTGATCAAATGCTTCAATGGATTTACACTAAGGCATCTAAATTGGAGTTTGGTGTTGTAATCAGAAGGTCCAATAATGATTCAGATAGAAGAGTTGCATTTATGACAATGAGATTCGAAAAAGTGGGAAGTATATAACTACTTTTCGAAAATTCAAACGAGATGACACATGCTCGAGAAAATGTGAGTGTCCTTTTAAATTGTGTGTTTATCTTTAATCAAATAATAAATGGAGATTTAATTTAATATTTGGTTTACATAACCATGACACGTCAAGTTAGTCGGACATTTAATTACATGCCGCCTTATGCCAGATGAGAAGGAAATCATTTTAGACATGTCATTGAATATGGCGCAACACAAAAACACACTTGCAACTTTGAAACGTAAACGACTGAAAAATATCTCAAATATCAAGCAAGCATGCAATATTCATACACATAACAACAAAGCATTAACAGGGGATAGGACTAAAATCCAACAACTTTTAAAACTTTTGGATGATAACAATTATGTATTTAGGTATCGAATATACGAGGATGAAGTAACCGTTCGAGATATATTTTGAACTCATCCTGATTTCATAAAGTTGTTCAACATGTTTACTAGTGTTCTCATCATTGATTCAACACATAAGACCAACAAGTACAGACTTCCATTATTGGAAATTGTTGGTGTTACCTCTACCGATAAGACTTATTTTGTCAGGTTTTCATCTCTGGAGAGCGAAAAAGAGGAAAGTTTTACTTGAGCTTTAGAATTGTGTCAGACAATGTTGAAGGAAAAAGAAGACATATCGAAAGTCATTGCCACCGACCACGATACCACATTGATGAATTCGGTTGCAAAAGTCTTTTCAACTTCATAATCATTACTTTGGAGGTATCACATTACAAAAAATGTATGAAGTTGAGTTAAACTCGCAGTAGGGACCAAACAAATCAAGTGAGAAGATGAAAAAATGGTCAAAGCTAGCTTGATAGTATAAAGAATAATGGATGCATCAGATGTGATAGTAAATTCTTCTACAGAAAAAAAATTTATGTCAGTGTTATACATTTCAAGAAGGTATGTGAGAAATATTCAAATTTGATAAAAATACAATTCTGGACCAAGTAAAGGAGAATATTGTTTGTGCTTTGACCGATCAAGTTAGACACCCTGAAAATACAACAACTACCGAGTTGAGTCTGACCATGCTACACTAAAGAATTTGTAGAGAAATAGTAACGGTGATTTGTGTAGAGATTAGAACTATGTGAACCAAATGATCTAAAGTTAGCATAATGAGATACAAACATCGTTTGGTCGCAACATCACAGCGTTGAAACATAAATTCAAAGACAACACTCTATGTTCTAAGTTGGTGGAAACATATCTCGAGCAGGACTAGGATGAAAATCTGCCACCACACCAATATCCAGAGATACTAGGCTTAAACTCAATGAAGGCATACCACTACAAGATCCTACACCTTATAGAATACTAGTTGGTCAACTCATCTACATACTCGATATCTAACCAGATATTACATTTGTAGTTCAACAACTCCACCAACGCATAAATAATCTCACCAAACTTTATCATTCACCTGTTATCCGAGTCTTGAGATATCTCAAACATTCTCCATCTCAAGGCCTCTTCTTTTCGTCCTATTTTACATTACAGCTAAAAGCTTTTTCTGACTCTAATTTGGCCACATGCCCAGATACCAGAAAATCTATCATTGGATTCTGCATTTACCTAGGCAACTCCTTAATTTCATGTAAATCAAAAAACAACCCACCATATCTTGTAGCTCCACTGAAGCAGAGTATTAGGTAATGACTTCAATAGTTTGTGAACTCTAATAGCTGACAAACATCCTCAAATATCATCCACTCTACTATCTCTTCTATATTGTGACAATGCATCGGCTAGACATACTTCAAGCAATTTCTTATTTAATGAACATACAAACCACATATACTTTGAACAACAGAAGGTGTCATAAGTTCAACTGAAAACCTTAAAAAATAAGGTTATTCACCTTTTTGATGAGAATGCAAATTTGAAGAAGCCCTATAATGAGAGCTAACTTGTGAAGGAAGAAAGGAAAGTAGCATCTTTAACTGCAAAAAAATGTTAAACTAAAGAGGCTTCATAAAAAGAATTCTTGAAGATGTCAGAAAGATTTTAGTGTTGACTTTCGAGAACCTCAACCTTACTAAATTGTGTTGAATATAAGGCTCATAATGTTTCAATAAGTACATAAAGTATTGAGAATGACAATGCCTAAGTCTGCACGCTGAATCCTAGTTTGACCTTTGAGATGATGGGTATGAGTAATTGCAAAAATGTGATGAAGAATAGGATTAGAACAGTTGTATATTTTTGGTGTATGTTCCAATTTTTTTGTTACTTTGCCTTTAATTTGGTTTGTGTTGCTTCTGTTCGAAATCACCTCTATATTCCGGTTGGCATGGTAATGATATCTTCACTTTATATTTATAATTTACTTCTACAATAAGAGTTTTAACATGTGCCTTTGGCCTTAGACATAGGTTGGACCAATTTAGGAAACCGTTCGCCGTTAGAGAGTTGATAAGAGATACTAGTCCTCTATTTCCATGGCTTGATTGGTTTTTTTTTAAACTTTCTCTTTACGGGGAAAGTGTATTTTTTCTTTGATAACTGCCCAAGTATACCATTCACTTTTTTTTTACTATGTCTCAAAAGAAAATACTAATAACTAATATGCATAATTTGACAAACTTATTATTCTCTCTATCCATTTATTACTCCCTCCTTTCCATAAAAAATGTCTCATTTGTATTTTTTATTTTTAAATAGATGTTCTTTTACAATACCAATATATTACTTTTACTATTTTTTCGCTATATACTCTTATTTATTAACTTTCATTTTATTCAACTACTATTAACTATAATTAGTAAGGATAATTTAATAAATAATATTAGTCTTATCATTAAAATCAATATATCTAATCATTTTTTAAGAACTGCACATTGCTCAAATAAAACATTTTTATGAGAAGGAGAAAATATAACTTACATACAACAATGAGTGAGTGAAATTAAGGCTGACAATGAACTGAACCAACTTGAAAATAGTTTGTAACTTGATTCTACAATTAATTTGTTGAACGGGTTCATGACTCAAATGAACTGAATTTAAGTAAAAAATTAAATTCATTAACTAAATAAATTAAACTTGAACTATACATAGTTCGGCTCGTTAGGTTCACAAGTCAATTCGCTTATATATGAGAAGAATTATATTATCTTTAAGATTAGGTTTAAAGATTTAGTCCAAATCTTAACCTATATTTTCTTTTAATTTCAATATCTATTATGTCTTCGAAGTCATACTTTTACATAAGAGGAAGAGTTATTGATTCATTTAGAGCTTCTTTACATCCATCTCCTATGGAAGCTTTAATATGTGGTGATTATTGACTTCGAGTTTTGCATGAAATTAGAAAGAAATTTAAGATGATATGCTATCTCTTGATTATTAAATATAAAATAAGCTTTTAAAAATAACATTGATAATTTATTAAAATTAACTCTTTTTGTTAATAGGCAGAGAATGTGCATATAGAGATCACTTTACTTTATTAGTACATTCTTTATTTTTCTTCTTCATTTATAGAGAAGTTTTTTTTCTTCATTATTGTAATCATGTAATCTTTTGTGATGTACTTTGTTTTGTGATATATTGTTGATGGAAACCATGGTGGCGTATCATCGCGTACCGTGATCATTTTGTGTTAGTGTTGATGTATGTGAATTTAATTGGATTGAAAAATATCATCTTACATTTTGTAAGTTATTCCTTTCGTACTAGTTATTACAGTAAAATTGACAATTAGATTTAGAGTCATATGTGTTAGAGGTATAATGATATTTGCTAAAATAACATATGTTATGAAGATCGCAAGTAGTGTCATCATTCTGTGATAGGAATGCATCAACTTCTAGTTGTTTTTGGTGTATTATTTCATTAAATTTGTAAGGTCCATAAATATTTAGATAAAGTTGTCGATTTTTAGACAAATTTAAACTACAGTCGAATAGTTTTTGAATTATATTTTTAAATGTATCTCATGAAAGTTGTGTAGTTTTTGAATTAATAGATTTTTGAGATAAAGTTAAATTTCAATATGATAACTTTTATTTTATTTCAATATTTTATTTTTAAAATAATATTAATTTAAAATATCAAATATAAAAAAAAATATTTAAAAAATGGTTTTTAAGTCCGCGAATCAAGTAAAATGAACTTAATGAGTTGAACCGAGTTGTTTGCGAACTTATAACGTATTAAACCGTGTTGTTCGCGAATTTATAACGAGTTGAGTTTGAGTTTAAAAAAATTTTTGTGACAAACTCAAACTAAAATTTGAGTTGAATCAATTTTTAACAAGTTGGTTTGAACTGAGGCGAAATCGACTCGATTCAACTCAACTTGTTTTTAGTCTTAGGTGAAATAATCACTATAATTATTTATTTAAAAAAAAACTGATTTGTACTTCTTTGCGTTATTATAGTTTTATCTTGAGTTTATGTGTCTTTTTCTTTTATAATTCAATTTTGAAAAAAATTTATATTAAAATATAAGTCGTTTTATAGTAATAAAGAATTATTAATGATATTTTTTCTATTTTATTCTTAAATATTTATTATTATTTTTTTAATTTATTACATTTAATTTTTTCAAACAATTAATAAAATATAATTTTATAAATTTTTTTATAATTTCACTTTTTTAATCTAATAATGATTAAAAACATGTGTGAAAAGTAAAGAAATGACTTATAAAATCAAATAAAAAATAGGTGATGTCTTGAAAGTGAAAATTAATTTTTAATTAATTACGATCCTCTCTGTTAAGTCGTATTAACAATTTTAAATTATTTATATGATATATAATATATTTTTATAAAACAAATATTTTTTACTCGTGAACACATATATTAAATCCTAAAAAAAGCGGAGGGAGTACGAGAAAATATGGTACGGAAAATCATGGAACAACGCGTTAAGAATTCTTATTACGCCGTAATGTAATGTTGTCGGCACCATGTACAAACAGTTTACAGTTATTTATTTATCATCACCTTCCTATTATTATTATTTGGTCGACCTAATATTCTATCGTCACACCTTAAAATATATACATATCATTTGGAACATTCGCAGCAACTTCTTATTTATTTATCTATATCTTGTAACTTCTCCATTCTTCAACACAACCGCAACACGCTACTAAACCGACATTAACCAAATCTATATATAACGAACTCCAACATTGTTATCTTTAACTAACACTGTTACATACAAACATACAATCTCATAAAGGATCATATTTTAAGGATTCTGTTTGAGATGATTAAAGACGCTGGATTCGAGCATGTTCTTAGATATTTTGACGAAGATGGTGATGGAAAGGTTTCACCGGCAGAGCTACGACAGAAACTGATGCTAATGGGAGAGGATCTCTTGTTGAAAGAAGCTGAAATGGCTATTGAAGCAGTGGATTCAGATGGTGATGGTTATTTGAGTTTGGAGGATTTAATTAGTTTGATGGAGGAAGGTGGAGAGGAACAGAAGTTGAGGGATTTGAAAGAAGCATTTGAGATGTATAATGATAGTGATAAGTGTGGATTTATAACACCTAAGAGTTTGAAGAGGATGCTTAAGAAGATGGGTGATTCTAAATCTATTGATGAATGTAAAGCTATGATTAAATCTTTTGATTTGAATGGGGATGGTGTGCTTAGCTTTCATGAATTCACTATTATGATGCAATGATGTTATATTATACTTCATCTTTTCATTCTCATTCTCATTCATTTATATGTAAATTATGGATGTGATGGTTTTTAATACAAATACAGAATTTAGTTATTTGTTAAATGATAATTGTTGCAAGTTCGAACAATAGGAGATTTTCAAGTAAAGTAATGCTAGTTCATGACAAATTTTAAGTATAAGGTATGTTGATATAATTAGGATTAAAAAGATGTTGAAGATGTTGATGGGTGGATAGTACATGAATAATGATTAATATTGATGCAAGTGTACTATGAGATTATGTCGTGGTTAAGAGTTTATTGACAACAAAAATTTGCACCATAAATTTTTTAACAGATTTTTTATATGTGAAATTTTGAAATGGTTTAACTTTAAATAACCCACTAATGTTGTTCAACAAATTATGTCATTCATCTTTAATACGGGACCAAATGAATGAGAAAATATGATAATTAATGAGAATTTTTTATCCCATTCTATGAGTTTTTTTTCTTCTCATTACGTAGTTTTTTTTACAGATGTTCTCAAATTTTAGAGATATATTTTTGGATACGCTCTATGACTTAATAATATTCCGAATATATATCTGAAACCATTTAAATCTTAAACGGTCAGAACATATTTTCCATAGTTTTATGTTCATTTAAATTTGTCTAGAGATGCATTTACGGAAACTTTTCGGAGATACATCTCCAAAGTATTTTAGAATAGATTTTTTTTAGGAACGCATTGCGTATTTGTTCGCAGATGAATTATAAAATAACACACACACTAAAATAACATAACAATATAGTAATAGGATGTCATAGAAGCCTTAAGGCCAAAATATAATAACAATGTCAGGAAATACGTACAAACTACAATACTGAAACAAAATAAATACAAACTACTGGGTGTACTTGACAACCTCTCCTCTGTCGGCATGTGCCTCCGCAATAATGTCATCCAGTACTTATCTGACAGAAGACCCCTCTGGAAAGATACCCTCGGTAATGCCTGCCTGCGCCATCTCCATTATGCAACGACAACGAGACAAGACATTCTCAGTATGATTCATCTGAGACTACTGCTCCTATAGAATCTCCTGATGAGCGAGTCTCGGCAGATCTTCTGGAGCAGTCGGCACCATGTACGAATGTGAGACCCTGAAGAACCATCTGATGTATTCGTCGACGTAGCTCCGATCATTCGACTTTATGGTAGCCCGAGCCTCATCCAGTACCAGATGACTCTGATAATCAACAAACATCTCTTATATCTGTATATGAATCAAGGCTGGAGGTACAGATATATAAGGGTGTCTGGGTATGGTCTATGTGTACCCAAACTATCGCATGACACACTCAGGCAGAAGAGGTGCAGTGACCGTCGATGAGCAGGGCAACCATCCAGAGTATAGCGATATGTCGTCAAATGGTCGCGTCTGACTGTGATCCACGTAGCAGTTGAAGTGGACGTCCTCAACAACTAAACAATCAAGATAGACTCTGAAAGGCTCGACCGCCTGTTTCCCTATCAGCGGGATAAAAGCACAGGCACAGGGCATTTCCTCAATGTACTTATCCCACCACGACTAGCCAGCGATGCGTGGGAGGTGCTGGAGGATCCAAGCCTTAAATGTAATGCGTGTTATCCACAAGTATACGGAGTACGTCAGAGTAACATAAAATATTATCGATCCCACGGAGATCAATGTCAATCTATCGATTATTATTGTTACGGTGTTTATCTAAAGCTAATGAAAACAGAGAGTAATACGCACTGAAAAGAAAAAATAATAATTAAGGAATGAATTCAAATTCAGAATAAAGGCATACTGGAATGTAACTCTCATCGATCAAATAGTACTTCTATTGTCTAAGTAGTAATACTTGTGGGGCAACACTTTTTTCCTTGAAAAAGAGTTAATTAAAAAGGAATCGTCGCGTTAGCATAATCAGAACCGAATCTATCCTTTAATCTATACCAACCGCTCACGCAACACCGATCGCATCTTGAGTTAAAGTGAAAAGTCCTTTTTTTATATAACTACCTCTAAGACTCAGTTAAAAAATGTATTTGATTGGAAACTTTCAATATCAAAGGGAAATAATCATAATAAATAATTTAAACATGACGTGACGGTCCTCACATCCCAGCACATCAGAATTAGCTAGACATGACGGTGATAAACATATTAAATAATTTTTTTGTAGAATAAATCATTTAGGGAAATAGATACGTGTGTGATTGGTTTTCAAAAGTAAGAACGAAAGTGTCACGCTTAAGTTCACTTTAGAAAACGAATCTTTTGAAATAAAGCGATATGTAAATTGTGCGGAAAATTAAACACGTGATTGGTTTCCAAAAGTAAGAACGAAAGTGTCACGCTTAATTTCACTTTAGAAAATGAATCTCTTGAAATAAAACGATATTTAAATTGTGCGGAAATTTAAACAATTTAAAGCAAGGCGGAAGGGAATGCGAATAATAATAAAAGTGCGAATAGAATAAAAACCTGCTCCAAATCGGAGACTTGAATCTGGTACAGTGCTGGAAAGTAAATCTGACTTGAAAGTAAAATGGCGGCAAGATTAAACTCATATGCTACGATTCTCCAATCTTGATTACAACAATGGTGCGATAACCCCTCGATGTGATGGATTACCGCTTCTAACAACTAGATTTATTCCTATACTGAGAACTAAGATTGGACGATAGAAAATGAAAAAATAAGGCCTATTTATAGTGAAACAATGCCTTGGACGTCAAGCTGAACCCTCCAGAATCGTGGGAGAGAAAATCTCTGGTCATGGCATCATGCTCCAATCGTCCTTGACTGGACCACCAAAAACAAAGATGGCGTCTGCCATCTAGACATGGCGTCCGCCATGTGTATAAGAGGTGGTGGAAGTGGTCTTGTGACGGTTGGAACGTGGGAGAAACCCTATACGTCATGGCTACCCCCATGGCCAACGCCATGTGGAACGCCGTGTGTGTAATTTTCACTCAAAACTCCGTTTTCTGCTCTTTTCGTTCCATTTCTTTGTGGAAGGCTCTTATTAGGCAATGTAGCTGAAAACAAGACAAAACACAAGCGTAATGCAAGAAAATAACAACTAAATGATAATAAACATGTGCAATCCGAGCCAAATACGCAGTGTGTTTCAGTGTTATCAAAATGAATTCAGGGCTCAAGAGTTATCGCAAATATGAAATGAAAGATATAAAAATACAATCAAGGATAAAAAATTATTACCACCAATAGGGTCATGCTGCCTGCGGTCTGCCTTGTCGTCCATCGACATCCATCTCTCAACTTTGAATCAAATAGTACAGGCAAGCCACCCCCCAGTTGTACTCATGGATCCGTGTGAGATCCAAGAAGTACCGGAGGTATGCAACGTCAGTATAGGTGGCACTCGTGTCCACAAAAAGCACAGTGCCAACTAAAAATATAAAATAACACCTCAAAGCATGATTCATGTGGATATCCACCTCCTGTGCATCACCATCAGCCTGCGCTATAGCAACGAGTGCCTCATCAAATCTATCCTTCAAGAACAAAAACCTAACATGAGCACTCATAGTCCTATCCACCTTCCTTAGAGCCTTCAAAGTATCATCCTCCAGATGTTCCACCATCATATCGACCGCCTCGTCTTTAGTCATCCTACCATGATGGAGAAATGTCCCTCTGATCGGTAGATGCAACAAACATGAGACATCGTCCAGTGTAATCGACATCTCACCGTGTGGGAGATGAAAGGAAGAGGTCTCATAGTGCCATCTCTCTACGAATGCTCTCATCATCCCGTGGTTGACCAAAGTGTAACTGGTCAAGCATAGGTCACTCAACCTAGAAGCGGTGAGAATTGACTGAAACCATATCGTCATAGGCCGATGCAATGCTAAAATCTTCTGCCCTTGGTTCAGAAACTTCTGGGGTTCACGCATATGAAAATTTTCAAAAATAATCAATGTCAGCAATAATCAATGTTAGAAATAATCAATGTCAGCAATTAAAATTAATGTAAAAAAATATAGTAACAATCTGACTAATGTTACCTCTCGATCTCAAATATGTCTGGCAGTATGGTCTAGATACAAAGGAAGTAGGGACATATCAGATGGATCCTCTTCAAAAGTTAATAGCTAGGCATCATCAACATCACCCTCCGGAGGTGGCACCGATGCATCACAATCAGCAGGTACGAACGAGTCAATAGGAGGTGGCACCAGATCAATAGGAGGTGATACATGCGCATCCCTCCACATGCGAGAGGATGGAGGAAGTGACACGTCAGCTGATGCATCCCGTGGTCCGCGGGAAGAAGATGAAGAAGGTGGTGTGGTCTAAGACGTAGATAGAGTGTCTTGAGACGTAGATGGAGTGGCTTGAGATGTAGTTGGAGTGGCCTGAGACGTAGATGAAGTGGCCTGAGGTGAAGGTTGAACCACATGAGTGGGTTGAGCCTTAGGAGTATACTGTACACCAGCAGTTGATACCACTTCCTGGCCAGAGGTACCTGCTGCATCCGGACCCGTCCACGCGTCAATCGGTCGGCTCTGTCAACCATTATGCCTGCAAAATATAATATAATTAATCGCACAATGAATTTAAAAAATAAGAAAATTTATAAAACAAAAAGTGAATTTTATGATGAGTGAATAAGCTCTACTTCTAAAGAACTCAGCCCGCAGATTATTTTAGTGAATAAGCTCCTAGCAAAATTGATATTTGCATCATATTTAAGTTATAAAAGAGACCTAATTCCAAACCGCCTTCATCAGTTGGTGTGCAAATTTTATGTTAAGCACCGTGACTAGTTTCTTAGAGAAAATTTTACCTGTCTGCAGAAACATCATCACAAACTTTTCTAGATTTTTTTATGAGACTTTGGGACTAAACATAGACCATGAAACTATAAATTAACATGCCTTGAGCAATATTTTTAATAAGTTGAGTCTGCTAGCCATTGAGAGGAAATAAATTTTCTATGAGGCTAGATTTGTTT